ACTCATGAAAATGCTTTCCAAATGATTTCTTCAAATGCAGCATGGCAAATTATACTGCCTGTAAAACAATAAGCACTAAGCAATATGAGTAATTACAGAAATAGGCTTCTTATAAAATTCTTTTCCCTAGGAATGATTGTGTAGATTCTGCATTTAAGGGTCACAGTTAGTTAAGTAATGCAAGAATATTAAAATGTTGTCTTATTTCTTTCATAATATTCCAGGACATTGTTGCAACCATAAAGAAAAAGGAATATGATTTCTTAGACCATCGGAAAATGGATTTTGCACAGGATTATGAAGAGTTTTGCAGGCAGACTAATGACCTTCATGTAGGTTGTATAATAATATTCCTGTTGACAGTCGCATGTTTATTTTTCCCTTTCTGTGTAATGCTGCTAATCATTAGCCATTCAGAAGAGAGAGGCGTCTTCATCATAGAGGTGACCGATAGCAACCTCCGCCTGCATTTGGTGATTTCAGATGAATAATTGAGGGCTCTATTTTGTCGATTAAAGGGTCATAAGTATGGCTTTGGATAATGATCTATAATCACAGACTTCTGCTTGTCTTCATCCTAGTTCTTAGAAAGTTAACTTTCATCTTCCTTTGAAACACTGTCACTGTTAGAAAGGAGACATTTGCTTCCATTTGTTTGTTACTTTATAGCAATGATTATGCTCAGAGGAAGCCTAAGTAGACCTCCGTGGTGTCTGGCAGGTCCCAAAGGCAGAGCTGCTGCTGGCCTTGGAAACCTTAGACAGGATGATGCTAGGACCCCACTTGGTCTTGGGGGTCTCGTTCCCCTCCCCACTATTCACTGTGAACAGTCATCTTGACCTACAGCCCCTGTGAGCAGCATGGCCATCATCAGCTTCTGAGAACATACCATAAGACCACTCCAGCTCCAGATTCCCGGGGCAGGGTATGGGCTTGCTAGTTCCAGCAGAGTGCATAGCCTGTGGCATCCTGTGGTAAATACAGAAGGGAAGGACTCAGTAGGGTTCTTGGGAATGTTTGTTATGAGGAAAGGTGATAACTAGTAGGAAATGTGAGATAACCTGTAGCGTCTGCCATATTTAATGTGTAGACTTCTTTTATCTCAGTGAGGTGCAAGGGTACAGATATCTTTCTGATTTTAAGAGGAAAATGACCATTCTATTACTTCCTTTCTAGAATTTTTCGTTTACACTAAAGTTGTGCATGTCAAGGGGGAAAAGAGCTGGGAGGCATTGTTGGAGGAGTGAGTTCAAAGTAGAAGGAATTGTCACAAAGCTAGCTAACTGTGTGCCAGGAGCTGTCCTGAGCACTTTGTGTTGGTAAATTGATAATCACAATAACCCTAGGAAGTGGGTGCTCTATAACTGTCATTTTGCAGAGGAAGAAATTGGGAGATGATGAGGTTAAGTGGTCTTCCCAAAGTCACAGGTAACAAGTGGCAGGGTTGGGGTCAAACCTGGGAAAGCTGGCTTAGAATTAAAATTCTGAACCATTAAGTCTATGACATTTCATTTGATGAGAAAATACAGTGCTTATAATAATTTAAACAATGATATGTTTGGGGGTCTGATTCAAACATAAGGGCAGTAGATCCTGATTTCTTTGAACAGCGTGGGTCCTGATTTTATGTTGCATAATCAGTGTCCACTTGTCCTGCCCTCATCTGTGTTTCCTCAAAGGTTTTTGATCACATGGGAGGTACTTCAGGAGCTAATGGTAAGCACTTTAAGGGCAGGAATCATGTCTTAGCCCCATTTGTTAATAAATAGATTTACTGCAAAGAAACATGCGTTTACTATACAACAATGATGTATTAGGCATCTATGCTGTGGGTAGATTTGCCTCCTAAACTTACAGTCAGACAGGAAGCAGTGATATGATTGAAATGTGAGTGCATATTAAGTTAGAACAGAGGAATGAATACAGCACCCAAAAGAGGGGAGGGGATTGCGATTACAAACTAAAATGACTCATTATAAAATAACAATATTTTGATACCGTGCCAGAAAGCAAGGATTCAAAGCTAAAAAGATATAGACCAAGTCCTACAGAAACTTGTAAGGAAGACAGGCTTACAAAACATGCAGAGAGTCAGATGGTTGCTATACCAAATAAGATAGGGTATACACCTGAGGGACAACGGTCTCATACTTCTGCTTGGCTAGGGTGAGGAAAGGTCCCAGGAAAAAGTCTATGCTGGATGCTAAGGAGGTGTTTGTGTTTTCCCAGTAAATGGGATAGATGTTAATTCATAAATTACTAAAACGTGTAATTTAGTTTTTTATTATAGCTTATTAACTCTTATTTTATTAAAATTTTGTTTTGCAGTTCTTGGGAAAGAACCCAGAGCTTCCCACATGCTAGGCAAGAGCTCTACCACAGAGCCACACTCCTGGCTGGACTCTAATTTTATTATGACTTAAATGTTTGTAGTTGAATGTGAGAATGTGGAGTATATTGTGTTAGTGTCTTGGCGTTTCCTGGGATGTCCTCTGAGACATTAGGTCATTGTTAAGTTTTGCAAATGTTCTGTGCGTGCTGAAATGGGTAGTGTTCCTGTTGGGATTTGGGTTCTTTATATCTATATCAAGCTTTTAATTGTATTATTAAAATATTTTCTATTCTTATTAAGTATCTTTAAAAATATTTTTTTAAAGGAGTAATTTTAGGTTCTTAGAAAAATTCAGAGAAGGCCCAGAAGTTTACCATATATCCCCTGGTCCTGCTCTGCCCCATTGTGTGACTTCTCCCATTATTGACGTTCCTCATCGGATGAATACACTCCTTACAATTGATGACTCTGTGTTGACACATCATTGTCATCCAAGTACATCATCCACGTTAGATTCACTGTTGGTGGTGTACATTCTTTTGGTTTGGACAAACGTATACTGACATATATACACCAATTATAGAAAAATGCAAAGTATTGGCACTGCCCTAATAATTCTCTACATCCACCCATTCATTCCTCCTTCTCTTGACAATCACTATCTTTTTAATGTCCTAACTTGTGGCAAACATTGACCATTTTATTGTCTTCATGGTTTTGCATTTTCTGGAGTTTAGTTGGAAGCAGATAGCCTGTGGCCTTTTCAGATTTTCTTCTTTCACTTAGTTTCATGCATTCATGTTCCCTTCATGTGTTTTCATGGCTAGATAAGTCATTTCTAAGAGTCATATTCCATTACTCAGTTGTGAAGTCCCACAAGTGATTTAATTATTCACCTTCTGGAAGATGTTAGTTGCTTCCAAGTTTTGGCAACTGTGAACAAAGCTGCAATAAACATCTGTGTGCAAGTTTTTGTCTGGACGTAAGTTTTAAACTCCTTTGGATAACTATCAAAGAGCACAAATGTTGAATTATACAGTAAGAATATTTTTAGTTTTATAGAAATCTACTAAACCATACTTGAATGTGTCTGCACCATTTTGCATATCCACCAGTTATGAATGATAGTAGAGTTCCTGTCACTCCAAATTCTCCCCAGCATTTTCCATTTTCAGTGTTCTGGACTTTGGCCATTCTGATAGATGCATTGTAATACCAAACAGTTTTTAATCTCCTTGAGCTATTGTGACTACTGTGTCACAGATTATTTTATATATTTTGGTTTGTGGGTTGGATCTTATAGGCTTAGACTTGTTATATCTACCAGGGGAGTTGTTCCCATTAACAGTAATGGTTGTCTTTATCTCTAGTGATGCTCTTTGTCCTATAATCTATTTTGTGTTTTATTTATAGTGCTACTCCAACTTTCTTTTAGTATTTGTCTGAAATATTTTTCTGTTTTTTAATTTCCTACTATTTTTTACTTACATATTTTGAGCATATCACCTTAAAATTTCATCTGGTTGGAATATATTTTATAGCTGAGACTCCCTTCCTAGTAGTTGTGAGTTTGTTGGTTAATTTTTATTATTCCTTTTACTCCTTTTTCATTGGTTCAGGTCAATAATGTTCTACATGTATATTTAGTTGTTTCTGCATATTTTTCACAACGTTTAAAATTATTTGATATTCTATCCACCTCTTATTTCTGTCTTATTGTTGTATTGCAGTTTAGTTGTACTTTGCTTTTAAACTTTCCAAATGTCTTGTTGTTATTGTTAATAGCTATGTAGATATCCATCATGTTTGCAAATTTATTTGCTTGCTATTACATCTTCCTTCTCCTTCTTTCTGTGGGTTCCTTATAATTATTAAAGAAATATATCCTTTAGTGGTTGCTTCATCAAGAGTTTATCAATGGCAACCTTCTCTGGTGTTTGCCCCCAAACCTACAAAGTTGCCTTTGATATTTAATGTCAGTGTGGCTTCACATGTAATTTTACTTTCTAAGTTATTTTTCTTTATACCTAATCATGTTTCATTGACTTTTGGCATCTTTCTCAATCAGGTATTTTCTATAAAAATTTATTTCTTGATGAATAATTTTCTTTCCCCTGATTGCTTTAAGTATTATTTTTTCTCTTTATATTTGATACCTCTGCGTTTTAAGTGTGATTTCAAAAGCCTCGAGTTTGGTGGGCCTTCTCCACTTCTAATTTGTCGTTTTTGTTTTTTAATTGTAGAAAATTCTCAGTCATCATTTGAAATATTTTAGGCTCTTCTTCCAGAACTTCCAAGAAATATATGTTCTTTTTTATGTTGCAATAGTTAATACCTTCTTTTTCTAACTTCCATTTCTACTGTGCCTCTTTTTTGATATTTTCTACTTTTAATTTCTCTGTAGCATTTTGGGGCATTTATTTTAGAACTCTCTTGCAGTTCATTAATTTTATTTTCAAGTATATATTATTTATATCTGTTGTATATTGAATAGAATAGTTTTCTCCTTTCTATGTATAACTCTTATTTTTTAAAATTGGAGAGCCCTTATTTTCTATTATCCTAATCTTTTTATGGCCTGTTTCTTCTTCTTTTTCTCCTTAATCATTTTAAACACCCTGATTTCAGAGTCCTTTCCGACTGTTCCATCATCTCTAGGACTTGGCATGAATTCTCTTTGTGCATTCAGCTGCTTCTCTCTTAAAGATCTTTTTTTTTTTAAATGTTGTTTTCACAAAAGCTTTTGAGCTTGTCTTCTTTATCAGTTATTTGTTTTCTCCTGTGGGAGTCCTAATGCCTTGGGCTTTGGAAGTGTTCCTGTGGAGTGGTTTTGCATTACTTAGGCTAAGGTTCTAGTGGTGTTACCTAGTTACTGTGTGAATTTCTTGGGGATCCTTTTTATGCAATGTGGACCATGAATGTGGGCCCCTTATCTTCATGTGCCACAGGTGGGAGGTCAGCTGCCCCTGGCAGTGGTCAGCAAACCACACTCAAGTGCCAAGTCTTGCCCTGCCTGTTTGTTTTTAAGGCATTTCCTATGGCTACTTTTTGACACCACTGTGGCAGAGGTGAACAGTTGTGAAATAGATTTGTAAATAAATATTTACTCTCTAGCACTTGGTGGAGGAAGTTGGGGGATTCCATTCTAGGGTGACTTCTCCCTATTCATGGCTCTGGGTAAATGGCAAGCCTCATGTAGCTTTCTCAACTTTTAAACAGACACTTCCCTACCAAGCACTGGACAGCAGCACTTTGTAGATCCTGGCTTGCTGTAGGATCTGTTGAGGGTATTAGGACCCCAGAGTTCTCACCCCATATTGTATGAAGGTCCCAAGGCCTGCCCCTATATCCAAGGTGCATGGAGCCTGCCATGTTGCCAACTCTGACCACTCTGCTTCCCAGGTCTCTTTATTTCTGGCTTCTGGGCATTTATTTTTCTTTAAAGTTCATTAAATTTTCCATTATATTTTGCCCTTTATTATAGACATTTGTAGGGAATCAAAAATTCTTTTCACTTGCTACTAAACACAATTCCCTATGTTAATTTTTTTGTCCATAATCAGATTTTATTCTACTTTAGAATGAATTGCAGAAGTTCATGGATGTTACATTTGAGAAGATTCAAAACACAAATCAAGCTCTAAGTATGTTAAAGAAATTTGAGAGGTAAAAATTTGAAATAATTTTCCAAGTTCCATTTTCTAAAATTGGAATAACTTGAGCATAGTTTATCTATTATTATTATTATTATTACTGTTATTACTTCATATTCTAAAGGAAGGAAAAGCCTCTTTTGACAGCCTGAGTCATAAAGTCACAGTTTTAAGTTCTTTAGAGGATTAGGAGGATTAATTCTCTGAAGGATTAAGGCTTTGCTTTATTTCTGCAAATAGAGAATATGCTCAGCTTTGAAGTGCCTTGTGACTGCCTGTAGTAATATGTCTAATATTGGAGTAATTTGAAAAAATTCTTCCCAAGTTAATAGTTTTGCCTACACTGTAAGGATTGATAGTATCTCAATTCTTTTAATATGTTACACAACTGTTTTATTCTTTCCCATTGCCTTATGTTTTAAAATAAATGCTAATAAATAAGATTAGTAGATATCTTCCCATTAATTCAAACTTTCACTTTTCTGCATTTTCTTCAGATTGAATATACCTAATCTTGGTATCGATGACAAATACCGACTGATCCTGGAGAGTTACGGGGCTGACATTGGTATGATTTCAGAGCTCTACACAAAGCAGAAGTATGACCCTCCTCTGGCTCGGGACCAGCCCCCCATCGCAGGGAAGATCTTGTGGGCCCGCCAACTCTTCCACAGGATCCAGCAACCCATGCAGCTCTTCCAGCAGCACCCGACAGTGCTGAGGACAGCTGAGGCCAAGCCGATTATCCGCAGTTACAACAGGTTGGCCAAGGTCCTCCTGGAGTTCGAGGTCCTCTACCACAGGGCGTGGATTCAACAGGTGAGCCCCTAAGCAGATGCTCTTTAAGTGGTGTCTACTGGTAAAGCTTCCGGAGCTTTTCTGTAGCATTGGCAGGATCGTCCTATGGGAAGCTGGATTTGAGGGTATTTTAGACATCACTTTGATTGACTCTAAGTCAAGCCCATGAAAGAATATAATTGTCTGTTTGGAAAGTATCAAAAACCAGGCATCAGAAACCCATTTTATTTAATTCATAAACTCCTTTGTGGGAAAATCCTCTTTCGGAGTTTCTCTCCCCTACAGGTTAGGGTTTCTTTCTTTTTAAAATGTGGTAAGACCTGAATGTGTCTGTTAGGCAAAGTCTTAAATATATTTTTCGGCAATCTTGGTGGCTAATCAAATTATCCCCTACAAATATTTACCTGTAGATTGGCAGGAAGTGGTGTGTCTTAGCCATATTGATTGTATTTCTAGGTAACTGAAAACTGAGTTTAGTTGGATTTTGCGAAACTTTCAATAGAAGGAGTAACTTAGTAGGCATGAGGGTGCCTGGTATCAGGGAGCTGAACGGCTCTTGGGAACTCACCACCACGACATGGTCCACTTCTCTAGCAAGTGTGAGAGTCATGAAAGAAACATTTTATTGAATTGATCATGCACCATCACCACCAAGAACCGGGAGGTTTTTTCTGAGAGAGAATTTAGGGTAAGAGCAGCATTCCCATTGCCTTTAATTCAGGAAGCTCAGGTCCTTGCAAGAACACTTAGCAACCTGGATCCCCAGGAGTGGCTGCGTGGGATGCTCTTGGTGTTCGCGGAACGTTCTGATGGTAATGATGCCGACTTCTTCCCACAGATCAGAGAAGTTCACAGAGGTCTTGAGGCTTCTTTGCTGGTGAAGGCTCCAGACACTGGGGAGCTGTTTGTGAACTTTGATCCTCAGATATTCGTCTTATTTAGAGAAACAGAGTGCATGTCACAGATGGGTCTGGAAGTGTCGCCATTTGCAGCTGCCCTCTTCCGGAAACGGTATATATACAAAAAGAACTTCAGTAACATGAAGGTATAGTATTTTTAAATTTTCCCTCTTCTGGATAGTTCTGAAATACACTTTAAAAAATTGGGTGGTGTGTCATGTTGGAGGACAGAAAATGACCAGAATGGCTAGAGTGGAATGAGTGAGGGACAGTGACAGAGGATGAGCCTGCAGAGTTGGATGGCACCAGAACGTGGCAGGTCTTGTAAAAATTTATGTACCAGAAAAATCACTGACAGAAGCTGAGCTGGAGAAGAGGGCATGATCTCATTTAATAAAAGTCCTCTTTGCTCCTGGATGGAAAGTAGACCTGGCGGGGAAGCAAGAGTGTCAGTGGGGAGACCGTTTCTGGACTGCTCCACAGATCTGGCATGGATAAGATGGAGGCTTGAGCTAGAATGGCAGTAGAATTGGTCAGCTGTCAAGGAGTTGTGCCATCAGGCAGGATAAGAGGGAACTCAAGGATAACTGAAGTAGGGACTACCATGAATTATACAGGTCACATTCTGTCTAACTGCGGTGGCCTTGATGGTGAGTACCATTTGTGAAGATGCCAAAGACTTGAGCTAGTTTACTTTGGAAGGTCGGTGGGACTCAGTAGTTCCCATCCCAAGGGACAAGATTGTTTTTAGACATCAAGGGGAGGTGTCATCCATGCTATTAGATATGGAAAGCTACAGTCCAGTGAAGCTGTCAAAGTGGAGGCCTGGTTTGGAGAGGTGGAGAATATAGTTGCTATTTAATGACATTCTCCTGGATAGAATTCTTAGGGAGAGAACATAGACAGGGAAGAGTAGAGGGCCACAGGACCAAACAGTGGCTCCAACATTAGCACATCTGGTAGAAGAGGAAAAATTAGCAAATGAGATTTCAGAGTGGACTTTGAGGTGGGATGAAAACAAGGGTCAAGGAAACCAGGGGCAAGAAAAACCTCACGAGGGAGGAAAAGGTTACCAGTGACAGGCGGTGCTGCCCAAAGACAAGAAAGACCAGGTCAGAGATGCAGCCCTGGCAGTGGAACATTCACATAGAAACTGCCATCAATAGATCATAATGGTTAACATCACATGAGGGCCACACATTTGCTTTGCATGTTAAACCATTTTCATGTTCACTATTTCATTTGATCATTCCCATGATCATATTAGGTAGGTGAGATAGTATATAATTATTTTATTTTCTAAATGACCAAACTGGGCTTAGCCAAGGTTTCACAGGTAAGTGGCAGAACTACTAACAGAACCCAGAACCCACAACTTCATGTTATATTAAAAAAGTCAGTATCAGCAATGGGCAGACCTTCCTCGAGTGCGTACTCATGAAGTACTAGTCAG